CCGGGGATGACAATAAATGAGCTCCCATTTGCGTATGGTTTGGTATGGCTTTTCGGTTTTGGCCAGAGAGCGTCGAGTCTGGAAAATTGTTTTGGCTGTCGAATTACGTAAACATTGTCATAAATGACAAATTTAGCAGTCGTAGCCGAGTCAAGCATTTCATTTGCTGTGGCAAATTTGTCAATCTCGTCGAGAGTTTTTTTTGTCCGCCATCCAACCATCACGACTTTGGCCCAATTCTCATCGTTTTTGGCCCAGACGCCGCAGGGATTCACATGAGGCCCTTTCTTTGTTGGTCTGCTAACTTTGTTTTGTTTGGGTTTTCATTTTTTTTTTTCATTTTTTTTTGGTTTTGGCCCGGAATTGCTTTACTCTCTCGTGATGAAAGTCGCAAGATGGAAGACTTTCTCCGTCTGCGGCAGGCGCGACATATTAATTATTCATTTCGATTTTGGTTTGCTAGAGCAGCGGGATACCCAAAAACCCGGCAAAAAAGTGGAGAAAATCCAGCGAGGCTCTTTGGGCGGCTTGTGATTTATAAACACGCGCGTCGCTTTGGGTGATTTACTGCAAATTGCTTTATAATGTTATATACATTTTGTAGACGATTTTGGTGCTTTTCAGCGGCTTGCCTGCTTGCGAGTAATTATAAGGAAAATGGAAAGGAAAACAAGATAGAATGCTATAGTCGAGTTCCCCGACTATTAGATACCCGTTACTCGCTAGTGGAAATGCAATCGAATTCTTCAGCTTTCTGAAATATCGGTAGAAATTGGGGAATTCATCATCACATCAAAAAAAATTAAAAAAAAATAAAAAAAAATAAATTTCTGAATTTTCCGAATAAGATAAGTTGAGTTATGAAGTTCAGAACTTCAGCCTTATGGCATTTCCTAATTTTGTCATCATCACATCAAAAAAATAACAAAAAAATTAAAAAAAAATAAATTTCTATTTTTGAATGCAGTTTTTTAGAGAATTGCGCCAGAAAGATTTAAAGGTATGCCACTTCAAAATCCGATTAAGATAAGTTGAGTTATGGAGTTTAGAACTTCAAACTTAGGGCATTTCTTCATTTTTTTGAATTTCTACATCAACACCACATCAAAAAAATTACAAAAAATTTAAAAAAAAATAAATTTTTAAATTTGAATGCAGTTTTTTAGAGAATTGCACCAGAAACATTTAGAGGTATGCCACTTCAAAATCCGATTTAGATAAGTTGAGTTATGAAGTTCAGAACTTCAGCCTTATGGCATTTCCTAATATTGTTAGATTTCTACATCATCACATCAAAAAAATAACAAAAAAATTAAAAAAAAATAAATTTCTAAATTTGAATGCAGTTTTTTAGAGAATTGCGCCAGAAACATTTAGAGGTATGCCACTTGAAAATCCGATTAAGATAAGTTGAGTTATGGAGTTCAGAACTTCAGCCGTAGGACATTTTTTGATTTTGTTGAATTTGTATAATGATTTGTATAATGTTGAACGGGTATAATGAGCCATTTTGTTGGCTATTCCTAATCTAATGGATTAGGCGCGTGACCTTAGGCTATATGTATGTTGTTAACAATCTAAAGTCAGAATAAAAAAAGGGCGTAGGGATTATATTTGCGGCTTAGCACGGCCCTGTTATATACATTTAACGAATTAAGAGCGAATAACAAGGCTTTGGATTTCTTACTTGAGTCTCCATTTAAATATATCAATATATACAATTGTCAATTAATAATTAATACTTTCATGTATATAAACTTTCATGTCTAATATCCCGGGTTGCAGTTTATTAATCAATTATTCACCAACCATTTCTTTTCATTTGCATTAGTAATTTAAGGCACAACATTGGCCTCGAAGCATTTTTAATGATAATGGGAGCGGAAGGAAGAAAAATACTTTTCCGAGACACGTAAAAGCAAAAGCAAATCTTTGCACATCTGTGAATGTTGTCCTGCGAATGCGAGTGTTTGCGTGAATATGTGTATTTATGTAAATTTTGGCAGTTCGCTGTATTCTTTTTTTTGGTTGGCCAGCGTTTTTTTTTGTATACATTTTTCGTAGCTGAAAATTAGAAATGTTCCACTGCGTTCAACTTCACTGACAGTGCGTGGCAAATTGCTTTCCAAAGTCTAAAGCCTGACATGCCTGCAGAACACAAGAGAGCACACACGTAGCTGCACTGGGAGAAATGGAGGAATATTGATAAACCTGCTTATGCCTAAAAATTTCGGTCCGTAAACAATTTTGATCTAAGAAACGAATTTGATTAATGTTGGTCAATTTCGTTGTAATATGAGCTAAATATTATTTAAAAATTGGTGCCGTGACTATTATTTTTTTGTAAGAAGTTGTTTTAATATTTTAATATTTGTTTATCAGCTGTCACAGTCCACTTGCATTGCTTAAAAAGATAAACTTTTACAATTTTGTTTAAAATATGTATCAATTTTATGCACATTACAGTCATTATTTGAGTGAAACCATAATGAGAAATAGCTACTTTCATTTGTGCACTTAATGCATTGCTCTACAATAAATTGTTTTATACACCGTTGTTTTTTATTATTTTTAAAAATATTTTCAAAAACTTTTATGTGTATTTTGCAGATATTAAAAAAAAGATCAGATGGTGCCTTTAGTTTTCCAAAGTCCGATTCTATCGAGCTCAGATGGAATGCTAAAACTACTCGATTGCCAGAGTACAAGTAATATAGATTTATTTGTTTAGGAAACATATTTTCTTGTAGCCCTATAATTCCCAACTAGTTCTGGCGAAGACTGTAAGGCATGTCTTCTAATTTAGAGTCACAAAATAGTAATCTCTCTCGAGCAGTGAGTGTAGTGTATGTGTAGTGTATGTACCGGTGCATGTATGTATGTATGTATATATGTATGTATGTATGTATGTACGTATGTATGTATGTACGTATGTATGTATGTATGTATGTATGTATGTATGTATGTATGTATGTATGTATGTATGTATGTATGTATGTATGTAGTTATTTATGTATGTATGCATGTATGTATGTATGTATGTATGTATACATGTATGTATGTATGTATACATGTATGTATGTATGTATACATGTATGTATGCACGTACATGGCCTGGAGCCAGCTCTAGAGCCAGCCGAAAAAATAGTGTGCAAAAAAATCGTATCGCATCTTATTATTCTAGTTTCTTTGGTTGCACGTAACATAAATAATTTAAAAAGATATATAAATGAAATACATTTACTATGAATTCAGTTAGAATATGGACACGTATTTCTCCCAGTCCACAACCGATAGCTAAAAATAATAGCAAAAAATGGCTTTTTTTGCTTTGCTGCCTTCTTTACGTTTCCTAACCATAAGTGCGGATGGGGCGGGAAAAGTTGGAAGTGGGCGGAATGATATAGGACCCTATATGGCTGTTCGCTGTAGCGGTAATTTGCATGTGCAGACTATGGCACATAATATCCATGCATTAGAATTATGAATCCTCCTTCCCCAACATGGAGGCCTCGTAACGCATAATGGCAACGAGTGCCGGAAAGAAATTTTTACTAGATAAATGCGCAAAAATCGAAATTTTCCTCGCACATTACGGCGTGTGCACATGGCGTATGCGTAATAAATGTGCCCGCTGCCATTATTATGACAGTTATGTCGATGAATCGATCACACCCACTGGAGGCCAATAATTATAATGCACTGGCATAGTGTACTATATAGTAACGCCAGTCCACTCCCGAACTGAACAGAAAAACAAACTATGCAAAGCGGGACACAACTAAGCTGCCTGGCAGACAGGCAATTAAGTTAATTACTGTTTAAACTTTCCAGCCCGGCCAGAAGTCGCCTGTCTGATAGGAGCAGGGGGGGAAAAGAAAACGAAAAAATTATATTTAGCAAATTAAATTCCCCAGTTGCTGCCAGAGATTGAGCACGTGGCCTGGTCGAAATGTTGGGCAGGGAAAAAAATAAAACCAAAATGTACCTCTGCGTGAAGACACAGTGGGTGAAAAGTAGGAGTAGGATATTTTTTACTCAAATATACAACTTACTTATTTAGGAGTATGTTTCTAACAAGGTTAAAAAAATATTCTTTGTATTTAAGGAAATCTCCCTAAAAATTTTTAGAAAGAATGCATTTATCATTTTTCTTGCAAAACCTCCGGGAACTGTTAAAATTGTAAATATTTGTACTAATTAAGTTGAACAAATTTTCTTTTAACCCTTTTTCTAATTCCGACAAAATATTTCATATTTTTATAAAATACATTAATATTATTCTCTTTTATTCCCCCGATTTACAATTGGCTAATTAACACACAGATGCAATTTTGAACTTGAATTTTTTAATTTTACCCACTGTACTCGCACTGCACTGCCATCATTATGCAGGCGGCATGCCCCATTATCATTTTGCTCATTTCCGTTGTCGTTTTTGATTTGGTTGCAGCGGCAGAAGGGGCAGCAAAATCTGCTTTCGAGTCTGCCAATGGCTGTATTTGAGTTTTTGAGGCAGAGAAGCGGTTTCTTGAGCCCCCACAAAAAGCTTCCTTCGCTACCATGCCCATCACCATTTAGCCAACTTTGTCAGTTGCAATAACTTTCGCGTCAGTCCAACCAACAGATCGTAATGCTCTTCGTCTCCGTTCTGCTCTTTACAGGCCGCATTTCGTGTAAGGACGGCATAAAACAGAAGCGGCAAATAGAAAAGCCAAACGGCGGCTAACTTGCCTTTGTCTGCCATTGCCGCAGGAGGAGGAGGAGAAGGAGCTGAAGTAGCAGGAGTAGCAGGAGTCCTGGCAATTGGCCAAGTTAATAGAGAGCCGGGAGGCCCGATAATGACGTTGCTGGAGCTGCTGCTGCAGCCGCCCATGTTGATGATGAGGCTGCTAACTTGGTTATTGCTGCCAGCCTAGAGGACACAGGACGCAGAACGAAGGATCCAGACCAGAGCCTCCACACCCACCACACCCGCCAGACGGACAGCAACAGCAACAGCAACAGCAACAACAAACACAACAAGCTCTGCAGCTGCAACGCCGGGCTTACTGCATTTCCGCATCTTGTTCCTGTCGCCGCCGCCGCCGCCACCCGCCGCTGTCATCCTTGCAGCCCAGTAGCTCCAGTCGTTGCCACAGTCGGAGTCATCATGCCCCTCACCCACCCACTGCCGCTCTGCGTGGCCTGGCTGCTGCTCCTCGTCGTGATTGTGATGAGCGGTAAGTGCACAGATAAAGAAAATCAGCCCTTATATCAATTGTTGTCAGTTAAAAGAATATTTTGGTAGCAACTATCTTATTGATGCCTGAGATTAGCTCTTTTGCCTCCCTCATTAATTCGAAATGCTGCCAGTGCCAAAAATATTTGACCATTGTGCTGTCTAAATGTCTGCTGTTATTTGCAAGAGATATGTATAGAACCCTTAGAAATATCATTTTTTTGAAGTGTACCAAGGCATGCCATCGCATCCAAACCCTGCGGCTTTTCGCTTTCTGCCTTATTGTTGCCGCAGTTAATTGTTGGCATTTGTTTGGCGGCGATTCCTTTCCTTTTTGGCCCCTTAATTGTCCGCTGCAGCTCGGGATGGGATTTTTGTTTCAATTAACAATTAGTTTTGCCAACTGCTGCACAAAGTTATGCCCGGACGGGCATATTCCATTAAATGTAACAATATTGCGTATACGCCCGGCGGGCCTTGACCAAAACTCGAAATGAAAAGTTTACGCTTGCATCCATCACAACAAAAGTGGTCTAAATAAATGAAATGTATGCTCGGCAAAGGAGAAAAATTCAATAAGCTGCAGAAAGTTTGAGGCAAACTTAAATCGGCTTTAGCCTGGCTTGCCAAAGAAATAGTTCAAGCTGTTCCTTTCAGCAAAAAAAGCCTCTGGAATAGCCTCTAATTTTGGCCTCTGGGGAAACTCTCAACAAGTTGTCCTGTCAACAAAAAATTATTTTTTGTTTATTCGCAAATTGCTGAATATTTGGCAACATCGTCTTTAACTCGTTGAGAGTTTTTGCGCCACATCCTTTGCAACCAATGTGTGCATTTGAGCCTAGGGCCCATTTTCCCAAAGGCCAGCTTAAAATGCGGCAAAATATTTTGCCAAAACACATTTTTCCACAACCGACCAAGTTAGGTTTGCAAAATATTTTAGCAGAAAGCGGCCAGTTCAACGGGTAAATGCGACAAATTAAGTATAAAGCACGTGCAACAAGCGATTGAATGCTGTTTTCAACGCGAGATTAACACAATTTAAAAACGTGAATGGATTCAATTTCAATTGCCGAAACCGAAAACTGATTTAATTAACAGTTGTCAGGAGGCAGTGAAGGGCAAAACGCAACCCTTAATGCATTTGATTTATTTTTAAAGCGTTCGGAATTTATTATAGAAACGGCAACAAATAACTGCCGAGAAAGAAGGGTCATTGGAACAATTCAAAAAGTGCTCGAATTAATTGCATTTTTGGTGCAGCCGAATGAAATGGGTAAAAACAAACGGAAAAACAAGTAAATCGTGAAAACAAAGTACAACAAAAAAAAAAGTATGCGACGGACGCGGACATATTTCAAAATTCAATTAAAATAAAACAAAAGGGCGGCAACATCGATAGCGACACTATGCAATTTCCGCTTAGGGCGTGGCACCAGTCAGGTGGGCGTAAAAATAATTAAACTGCGAACAAATAAACATCGCACGTCGCGCTTTTGGCCATTTTGCAGGCACCGAAACGCCAACAAATAGTGGCAATTTTTTCACAATTTCGCCTTGACTTTTGCATCCGACATGCACAACATTTTCAATTGAATTACGCCAATATGTTGAAATATGTAGCTTCAAAATAGCCGCCGTTCATTTGGTGTAAAACCCATATCTGAAATTGCAGAAATAGCACAAGATGAATTAGCATCGCTTTCACTCCGGTTTTGGCTAATAGTGATCAATCCATTCGTCAATCAATCAATCTGCTCTAAGTGCATTTTTCTGTTTGACGGCGGTCAAATTAAAATTGAAAAAGGAACAAATTTCCACCTGCTAGTTGTTGATTCTGCCCAGGATTTCATTCCAACCCATTCCCCAGTGTTCACAAATAAATTATTTCCACTCGCTTTGGTGCGCTTTCTACTCCAAAAACACACAAAAAAAAAAAAAAAAACAACAAAGTAGAAATGGTACCCATTTCGGCAATTTAAATATTGATTATGATTGATTTAGTGGAAAAGGCCGCAACTAAATTTTGTTTATTTGCCAATGCATACTTCAATTCAGTTAGCGATTCAGCCCGATTCAGCCGGAATTCTGTAAATTACACAAAGTACAATTTACGACTTCCTGCAACGTGCTTCATATCAAGTAATTTTCATATGAATATTTTTGCAAGTCTCGTGTGCATAGAAATTGCATATTTGAGTTGAACTTTTGGCCAGTGTTTGGCGAACGCAAAATGAAATCAAATAAATAATTGCACGCCTCCACCCCTCTACCCCCCGAAGAAAGGATGGGTCTGGCCAATGGTCAAATATTTGCCAGCAAACTTTTGGCTCTGGCCAAGTCATTGAACGTTGTTGGCCTGGCCAGAAACTCAAACACATAGGAAAAGCTAGCTGCTACAGGGGAAAAGAGGAAAATAATGAAAAAATCGAGAAGGAGGAGCTGGTGGTGGAGGTGGAGGCGGAGGGGGCGGAGTTGCCAAGTGAAGTGGAGTGAAGCGAACTGCCGACCTTTGCCAACAAACTTGGCCACGTGCAACGTAGGTAATTGAGTATGAATGGCGAATGTGTCGAAAGCGTTTTCTGATGTTTGCCAAACAAAACGCTGCAGGTTGCTCTTCACTCCTCCAGCTCCTGGCTCCTGGCTCCGGGCACTGGCAACCAAAGTAGCTGGAAAATGAATTCGATACATTATCATGACGTCAAGTCGTGCGTGGTGGCGACTGGCGAAAAGTATAAATTACACCTAATGCCCGTGTGCCTGATATCGACGGCGTTCCAGTATCCCATTTCTTATGCGAAACACCTGCAGACCCATCTGTGCAGTATCGCCATCGCCACCCACATCTATATCGACCCACTTTGACTGGCAGTCTGAGGGCTGAAAGCTGAGGAGGTATCCCTGTAAATGTGCGCATAAATGAATTACCAATGAACCGCATGGTTCACGTTTTCAATTTGAGCAGGCTGGGCGCTAATTTTCGACTGGAAAGACGGCTGTCCTAGAACAAAGACCGAATAACCATTTGACAGATGTTTGTACCTAAGGAGGTACAGTGGAGCCAGGCTTCAGGCTCAGGCTTTTGATCAAAATCAGTGACATATCAAATGTCTGTTATAAATAAACAATCGACTGACAAATGCTGCACCATCAATTTTCATAAATGTTTTCATTCGGTCAGCTGTGCACATTTAAGTATTTAAGCTTCTTACGTTTTCTAAATTCTGGTGCATACTCGTATATGTTCCCTTTGCTACTCAGCTTTAATTTTTAATTTTACTTTATTTTCGACCTCTTTCGCACTTAGAGTTACTATCGTAATCGATTTCAACCTACAGTGCGCTTCGTCACTAACTTTAAGGCGCGCTACTCTTTGTGCTTCTTTCGCCTCAATTAATTAAAGCTCACCTAAAACCAGTCCATTTTTGTAGCAGGAGAAGCACTTGATTGCCACAAGTAAACAGCAATTCGCACAACGAGGCTTCACTGTAGAAGGCCAAGATGTGTGTGAGTGTGTGGGTGAAGGGGAGCAAATCGACAGCCTACATAAAAGCGCAATTTGCGCAATTCCAACGTCAAGTTCCATTTGATTACAACACGTTGACGAGGACATACGCACTTCTGGAGGAGATTTGGGTGGTGGGTGGATACCTATGTACGAGTATGTATGTATGTCTCTGCAGCCGGTAAAAGCAATTTCAGCAAATCTGCAATTGTTATGTCGCCTGCTAAACAACTCACTTTGAAGGCAGCCCACTCGCACGTCAAATATTTATATTGCACTGCTATTCCTCCACGTATTTCTCTATATCTATATCTATATAATATATATATATTTCTCTTGGCCTTGTTGCTCTCGGTTTGGGCATTTCGGGTATTGATTAAGCGCCTTGAGGGAGTTGGAATAATGGTCCGCCCCAATTACTGCAGCAGTTTATGTCCCCGTACGGACCCACATGTCTGTCTTGATTTTTTACAGCCTTTTTATAGTATCCTGTATATCCTGTACAGATGGTTAACGTCACGAAAAGGGGGGCGCTACGAAAAAAAAAACACACACAGACCGGAAAGCATAAATCATGCAAACGACTTGATGGCGTCTATTAGTCTGTTTATAGGCCTAGTTAAAATGCTTATACGGCTAACTTTACGGTGAGCAGCAATTAAACAGAACGGTCGGGTCCTGTTGATCGCGTTTCGCAGCCCTTAAAAAACAAATAACAACGAAAAGGTTGGGTTACATGAAAACAATGGAGACCAGCCAACAATGTTGTTACTATCTCAGTAGCAAAAAGTGTAGTTAAACGGAAAATATTTAACCCCATCCAGTTTGAACTGTAACCCAGCTTTGGCCAGGAATTTAAATTTGTTTGAATAACTTTAGTTAGTCATTAAATTGTTAAGTGAAACTTTTTCATTACGACAATAACCAGCTGCGCAAAACAAAAATGAACAAGGAGCCCAATCAATTTGCTCCATGATAGCATTGGTAGCATTGATAGCTGTCTGTATTTTCCCCAGTGTAAACTTGATGAGCACTGATTACACATACTCGCATTTCCCGGGTACGTGAGTAAAACACCGAGCAACTTTCGCGTATTCCGGGGCTCCTTTGGCGGGAGGCTGCTGTCAGGATTCCCAGGAGTGCACTTTACGCGCTACTTGTGCGGAATCCTCCGCAGGAATCCTGCGATGGCGCAGCGGCAACAATTGAGAATTTATTCATTGAACTTTGGCGCTGGGTCGTCCCTTTGCTCCACCGAACAGACCACCGAACAAGCACTCATTTATACCCATTAAACGAGAAATTTCCGTGGCAATGCAAACAATTTCCGCAACTAAAAACATCCAATGATGTGGCTCACTGAGTCACGGTCTATTTATGGCAACCTGGCCATTTATTGATGAATTTCATTTTATTTAATTTCATTCGTTGGCGGCCAGCTCTTGAAGTTCCCTGTTTTTCCATTGGACTGGACTGACCGGCGCGTACGAAAGTCGAAA